TGGTTAGATGTAATCTACAAACAAGGACATCATTACATTATCAGATTAACATTAATAGCGCCGTCTGAGTTGGGCTGGGCAGCCATAAAAAGGGACTGTACATTTTCATCCAACTACTGCTAGTAAACCTCCCACCTGTTCAGTTATGAGATTGTCTCTAAATTTACTGCCGAAAGTCAAAATCACCAATTAGATCTGTAAACATAAAGCTAGGCATACACATATAGATTACCTTTGTTCAGCCTACATGATGAACAAAAGATATCCAACAGATTCCTCCAGCCATGCTAAACAGCACAGAGGAATCTTGCCTGTCGGCTATTGTATTCTGACAGCTGGCACCCATAGCTAACTGGATCCTGATTTGACAAACGTCAACTGAACAATCAAGGTTTGTCAAGCCAGGTAGTGCTGGCAGGGGCTCCCACAGCTCAAATGGTGGCTGATTTAGCAGGAATTGGTAAACACTTTAGCTGTGCATGGCAGCCTCTAGGCTGAATTAAGGATAAGGACATCTGAGTGTCAGCAGGGATACGTTCCCAAGTTGCCCATAGTAGCCATATTCTTCCTTTCATCCTCCCAAGGCAGGATAAACAGAAGCTATGGACAACACAGACCACTCTCTCACATCCGACATAGAGACCAACACATAGCAGGTGGGCCTAACTAGCATCCCTAGTACAAGGGTGTACATTCCCCATATAGGGTGGTGCAGACTATTCTGCTCCAATTATTCCACAATAAAGGAATTTCATTTACATCTTTACACAAAGACTGTACACTCACACAGATATATGTATATGTGTTTATACATACATACGCAGGAGCGCCCTAGTCTAGTCACATGACATTGTCATGACATGATTATATCTCCCCCATCCTCTAAGTTAACTAGAGCGGGGGAGAAACACAAGTTCAGATTTCGATGAAGATACGCAGAAATGTAATAAACCGAAAAAAGGAAATGTACGCTTTTACTGCTGTTTCTGTGTCCAATCCTGTCACTGCTATGGGGTTGCATCACAGTGCCAGTTAACTGTACGCTGGGGACAAATCAATATGTAAAACGGTGCAAAGGACTGTGGATATCGCCAAGCCTCAATGATGTCACGTCTAGTGAGCATATAGATTTTAGGGAAAGTCCACATTAAATGGTCTACAATTCTGTATGCTAATAAAGTATACATATTTCTACAGCAGAGCATACAAATACATGAACTGAAATATATCTACAGGGTCCTCTCATAGCCCTCCAAATGGCATCCCTGACGTATTTTTTAATCTGGCATCCCAAATGTAGTACCGCTCATTTTCCTTTGCTTCTTTTCCCTCAAAACTCTATTGTGTTGAGATGATTTAACGCTTTCTAAACCGAATGTGTAGCACAACATAAAATTCTATGGGGTGTATTTATGAAAAATTTTCTGTTATTTGTCCTTTGAAACTGCGTATACTTTTGCTCTGTGCAAATACGGGCATGTTGTTAGGTTAAGGTCTCACCTGGTTTAATGTTAAGAGTCAATCAGGAAAATACCACATTATAGCCACTAGATGGAGCTGCTGATCACCGTAAATAAGTATTTTATTCTGTATGAATGCAGAACATTCGGCCTGGAGAGAGAATAGCCTAGTAACATTCAATATTGCCCCCATTTACAGAGAACAAAATGTATATGCAGTTTCAAAGAGAAAACGGCTCAGTAAGTTTTTTTTTTTTATATAAACATACCGATAAGTGCCTTTCTGAGCAAAAACAAGATCTCATTTCTGAAAACTGACAGAACGAGTCTATGTTACTTGTGGTAAACAGATCACAACATATTAGAGAAACAAAGCGAATGGCTGCTTGAGTGATGAACACCATTCCCTCCAGTCTTCAGAAATGAGGCCTAGAGATTGGAGAATCTCTGATGTACACAATTTTTAAAGGTTAACACACTGATACATAAATGCACAGCTACTCAATGCAGAGAAATAATGAATTCAGGAACATTATTTTACATTATTTTGGAAATACAATTATTTTTTGGCATGTGGTAATGTCACAATCCAATCCGGTGTCTAACCTTCTTATAACAATGTAAAGCATATCAGATTTTTTTTCTCTTACAAGACAGGTTTCCATACACCAGGGTAGAAGCCTCTAGCAGTAGTACACCTTCACCTTTAATGTGGACTTCTAGCGTCTCTGCACTCAGTGAATGAAGCCATTTTGTTTTGTCAACTATAATTGGTTAATGTTTGCCTAACACTACCCAGGAATAAAACCAGCCAAATATGGTTCAAATCTCGGCTGGTTCAGTAGGGAACAGGCACGATTCTATGGGCAGGTGGATTAAACCCAATTCGATTGCTGTGCGACTTGGGTACAACCAGCCTGTTGGATTCTTCATGCAATTATTGCCAGCGGCTAGAGCTGCTAGCAATAATCACTGTGTTGTCACAGGAAGGACGGCTCCCCCCTGCCGGGGGAATACAATAGCTCCATGGGAGGGATTCCCCCATCAACACTGGATGTGTTGATGGGGGAATCGCACAACCACGGGTTGCAGGAAATTGCATTGTCTATGGCCTGCCTAAGGATTTTGGAGCTCTTATAGTTACACAAGAAGCAGCAGTGAAGATGGTGACTCCTATCTGGTTGTCAGGAATTTCAGAATACTGCTGCATCTATGGTTGAAGAACTACTCTACTTAACCTGTATAGTATGTAAATAATGCTAAAACCACCCTACTACAGAGCTGCCGGAACCACTATTTATAAATGTTTCTCGGTTTATTTGTAAAAGGAGTACAGATTAACTGTCAGTCCAACACTTTCTGCTGTCTCAAATGATATGCTTAGACTGGCCAATATCAAGCTGAAAGTACAGCTCATGCAGCAGAAGAGCACAGAGAAAGCTCTAATTGAATCACAGAATCGGAGAAGGAAAATATGTCATACGAAAAAAACCGCTGCTGATATAAAATGTACCATTTAGATGTGTACACGTACCTGCAGCAGCCTTCAAAATTTGAGGCTTAAGGCCAAAAGAGAAGTCATCCTAACAGGCAAATCTCCGGCAATACCTGATGGCTCCCAAACTTCCACCCCTTCCTGCCTTTTGCTTATTCCTATGGGGGAGTTAGGCAGCCTCATCATAGTGATTGGTTAATAGTTATAAGTGGGATGTCTGCACTTTATACCTGCAGCATTCGTTTTTCCAGACAGCTTCTATTTAAAGTAGTTGTAAAGGTATTTTTTTAATTATATAACAAACGTGTTCTACTTACCTGCCCTGTGCTATGATTTTTCACACAGCGGTCCTGAACCTTTTCTTCTGGGGTCCCCCGCTGGAGCTCCAGGCTCCTCCTCTTCTCAGTGTGCCACCAAAGGAAGCCGCTTCCTATGGAAGGACAACCCGTGAGCTTGATCTAAATCCAGTCTTTGTGCATCTATTGACACACACAGCGTAGCTTAGCTCTGCCCTCCCCTCACAAGATTTAAGTGACAGAAGCAGGAGCCAATGGCTCGCGCTGCTGCCTCTGTAAGCAAAGAGAGAGAGGGGAGAGAGATGCTGCAGACAGGCACAGCACTGGATCAAGATAGGACTCAGGTAAGTATAAAGGAGGAGGGGGAGGGGTTGATACAAACACTGGGACATTTTATACTTTAATGGAGGTATTGCATCTAGGTAAAAAATGCCCAAGCTTTAGAACCATTCCAAAATTCTTCTACATGCACTTGACTGTTACAGGCTTGGAAACAAGGTAGGAAAAAAAAAAAATCACTGGGTGTGTTTTGAGGAATTTATAAAAGGAGTGATTTAATTTGGCATCTATGGACATAAATTGTGGTGCTAGCTCAATTTACTTGATCAAACCTAGGTTCTATGTTGTTATTAACCACTGTCTTCTACTGAAGTACTGGGATGAATACTGGCTTATGAAACAAAATGGCTACCTTCACGGAGAGTAGTCCACTAGCACCTTACCTTCTGTCTGTACAGGACACATTCATATTTTTTCTTGTGGCTATCAAACAGTTTGACCTGGGGCCTCTAGTTGCCAGATGTGTGTTAAATATAATGACTATAGATTGAAAAGAAATGAGTTTGCCTAAAAAAAACATGTTAGAGAAAAAATATGGAAGGGTATATAAGTTGATCTTCTAAGCTGATGATCCATGACATGCATCAGTAAAACATCATTAAGGCAAAAGGGATATCCAATAAATACCAATGAAAACAAAAAATAAATATTAAATGTAAAGAATCGGTTGCATCGGTAAACCATATAAAAATCTTATGTTAGGGATAATGGCTGTGCAAACAACAACATAAATAAATGTACATGTACTTTAGAAATCATCTCCATCGTTATGGCGGATGGTCAGAAGTGAGCACCACCTAGTGGATATACTGGCCTCCACACTTAGAAGGAAAACAAACCAGTCCCCCTCCCCTCCAGCTTCAATCTCCTTGTACAACTACAGGATGGAAAGAACAGGAGAATAGCTGATGGGCTACAAAGACACCACTGTACACTAGAAATCTCAAGGGGATTGGTGGAAACCAAGGGCCAAAACAATCACGTACGGCAGAGCTGAGACAGAGGGTGACAACCAGAATGTGCCTGCTAGTAGGCACTGTACCCGTTTAATCAGTCAGTGCTGAGTTCATTGCTACTGTGTGGGAAGAACCAGTCATGCAGTTTCCAAGAGCAAGAGGTTGTGACAGAGAGGATTATGGGAATCAGGCAGGACATATATTGCTTGTAAGAGTAGCAGTAGTAAAAGGAAAAAGGTGAAGGGGCAACACTGCATCAGAGGCACAATATTAACAAGGAGGTGACAAGGGTAAGTGAATAAGCCCACAGTACATCCTGTGTCTCAGCCCTGGAATCATTCCATGTAAGTCTACAGAAAATACTTAACAAAATGTCTGATTCAAGGCTTGGCAAACCTGGCAAGAGTTAGCAAAGACGTATTACAAGACGGGAGTTGAAATAGAGAGGCTGGTGCTATACTGTAGGCTCTGATTCTTCCTCTCCTGGCCGACTTTTGCCGTTCTTCCGTAGAGCCTTCCAATGATATCCCGCAAATGTGGGACTAATAGGAAGGTAACTGAAACACTTGTACTTGCGCAGAAAGTTCATACCAATAGGAAAGTCATACGACTCCATTCCTTCAATAGCAGCTCCACCTTTACCCACCCCACGCTTCCACTTCTTGATACCCCTTTCTTCTGGTGTACCTGGATGAATACAATGATCTGGTTATACAGGGGACTCAACAACAAGCAAGCAAGTTTACAGTTAAACTCTTTCCAATGATTCAAGAGGCGTAAAAAGTCTGCTCAGTGACTTAAAGAGAAGTATGGGATTTTTTTTCTTAAATCATACTTACCTATGATTGATGCTGCTTCTGTCCCCCACAGACTCAAAGACTGAGAACTGAGTGATGAGTGATCAGACATCGCTGATCACTCAGTTCTCTCCACCGCTCTGAGCAGAGAGCGGTGACTGGTCAGTTACCACTGTCTGCTCTGCTCTCCCCCAAGGACTCACTAAAAGCACTGGGCTGTGGAGGGGGCAGGAGTGGCTGGCTCAGGCGAGCCAGATGCCAGTCCAGGCTCCTGGGTGGATCCTGACCATATGGTTGCAATCTTTCCCCAGCCTTAACCAGCTGTGTGACATTGAAAACAGATCACAGGAGTGCAGAACAAACTGCACTCCTGTGATCCACAGAAGAAGTACAGCTAATTGTGCTTTGTCCGTACTCTTCCTTTATACCAGTCAGCTCATTCATTTCTACAAGAGACCAACAGGGGAATTCAGTAAAGTAGTACAGACATATTTTTGCCAGTACTTTCCTTTAGAACTACCTGCGTCTTATTCAGGCATGATTTTTTGCCACTTTCGGTAACATTACCATCAAGGGTGACAAGTTCTAAAATATTATACTCTCTGCGTACAATTCCCATAGAGCTGAATGTGTCTACAGGTAGATGTGTAGTCATCTCAGGGGTGAGCAGGAAAAGGTTGGCTACATTCACATACACAAGGGGAACATGGGGACTGAATGTATCCACCCTAGAACATGAAGTCTAACAGCAGAAAGAAGCTCGCATTCGAGAGATGAAACAAAAGGAAAAGAGAGATAGAAGGTAGAATCTACTTATTTTTAAATATAGTTCTACTTATTTTTAAATATAGTGCATTTGATTTATAAAAATGTCAGATTGTCACTTTACAAAAGAACCACATTCCTAAAGAATTATCAACAGGTTACAGATTAGGAAACTGGCCATAATTAAGACCAGCTCTGATCTGACATACAGAGGTATTCCGGTGCTCAGAGTGGGGCAGGTCAATGTTGGAAAGTTGTCATGATTGTGACAGTTTCCCGCACAACGTTCTATATCCGGCACCATTCAGCTGTCAGCCAGAAGATTTATTCTCTGAACAACATAGTCTGTCAGATAACAAGGCTTGTATGATATACCATATTTTTTGGCGTATAAGACGACCCCCTACTTTTCCTGTTAAAATATAGGGTTTGAGCTATACTCGCCGTATAAGACTACCCCTCTTCCAACACACACCAAATAAAAATGAAAAAACATCAGATTTGATTTCAATATGGTATGGTATTTCAGTATGGTATTCCAATGATGGGGTGCTATTCCTCCCACTGACACCAATGATGAGGCACTATTCCTCCCACTGATACCAATGATGGTGCCCCATCATTAGAGTCAGTGGGAGGAATAGCGCCCCATCGTTGGTGTCAGTGGGAGGAATAGCGCCCCCATCGTTGGTGTCAGTGGGAGGAATAGCGCCCCATCGTTGGTGTCAGTGGGAGGAATAGCGCCCCATCGTTGGTGTCAGTGGGAGGAATAGCGCCCCATCGTTGGTGTCAGTGGGAGGAATAGCGCCCCATCGTTGGTGTCAGTGGGAGGAATAGCGCCCCATCGTTGGTGTCAGTGGGAGGAATAGCGCCCCATCGTTGGTGTCAGTGGGAGGAATAGCGCCCCATCGTTGGTGTCAGTGGGAGGAATAGCGCCCCATCGTTGGTGTCAGTGGGAGGAATAGCGCCCCATCGTTGGTGTCAGTGGGAGGAATAGCGCCCCATCGTTGGTGTCAGTGGGAGGAATAGCGCCCCATCGTTGGTGTCAGTGGGAGGAATAGCGCCCCATCGTTGGTGTCAGTGGGAGGAATAGCGCCCCATCGTTGGTGTCAGTGGGAGGAATAGCACCCATCGTTGGTGTCAGTGGGAGGAATAGCACCCCATCGTTGGTGTCAGTGGGAGGAATAGCACCCCATCGTTGGTGTCAGTGGGAGGAATAGCACCCCATCGTTGGTGTCAGTGGGAGGAATAGCACCCCATCGTTGGTGTCAGTGGGAGGAATAGCACCCCATCGTTGGTGTCAGTGGGAGGAATAGCACCCCATCGTTGGTGTCAGTGGGAGGAATAGCACCCCATCGTTGGTGTCAGTGGGAGGAATAGCACCCCATCGTTGGTGTCAGTGGGAGGAATAGCACCCCATCGTTGGTGTCAGTGGGAGGAATAGCACCCCATCGTTGGTGTCAGTGGGAGGAATAGCACCCCATCGTTGGTGTCAGTGGGAGGAATTGCGCCCCATCGTTGGTGTCAGTGGGAGGAATTGCGCCCCATCGTTGGTGTCAGTGGGAGGAATTGCGCCCCATCGTTGGTGTCAGTGGGAGGAATTGCGCCCCATCGTTGGTGTCAGTGGGAGGAATTGCGCCCCATCGTTGGTGTCAGTGGGAGGAATTGCGCCCCATCGTTGGTGTCAGTGGGGAGAATAGTGCCCCATCGTTGGTGTCAGTGGGGAGAATAGTGCCCCATCGTTGGTATCAGTGGGGAGAATAGTGCCCCATCGTTGGTATCAGTGGGGGAGGAATAGTGCTCCATCATTGGTGTCAGTGGGAGGAATAATGCCCCATCGTTGGTATCAGTGGGTGGAATAGTGCCCCATCGTTGGTGTCAATGGGGGATGAATAGTGCCCCATTATTGGTATCAGTGGGGAGAATAGTGCCCCATAATTGGTGTCAGTGGTGAGGAGGAATAGTGCCCCATCATTGGTGTCAGTGGGGAGGAGGAATAGTGCCCCATCATTGGTGTCAGTGGGGAGGAGGAATAGTGCCCCATCATTGGTGTCAGTGGGGAGGAGGAATAGTGCCCCATCATTGGTATCAGTGGGGAGAATAGTGCCCCATCATTGGTGTCAGTGGGGAGGAGGAATAGTGCCCCATCATTGGTGTCAGTGGGGAGGAGGAATAGGGCCCCATCATTGGTATCAGTGGGGAGAACAGTGCCTCATCGTTGGTGTCAGTGGGGGAGGAACAGTGCCTCATCGTTGGTGTCAGTGGGGGAGGAACAGTGCCTCATCGTTGGTGTCAGTGGGGGAGGAACAGTGCCTCATCGTTGGTGTCAGTGGGGGAGGAACAGTGCCTCATCGTTGGTGTCAGTGGGGGAGGAACAGTGCCTCATCGTTGGTGTCAGTGTGGAGGAGGAATAGTGCCCCATCGTTAGTATCAGTGGGGGAGAGGAGCGGCTGCTCCTCCTTCCAGTGCGGCTGCTCGATTTTCGCGGGGCCGCTCGGCTCCGCCTCCTCGCCGGTGATTGGTCGCCTGTGTGCCTTTCCAGTGCTGGCGCCCAATCACCGGTGAGGAGGCGGAGCCGAGCGGCCGCGTGACCATCAAGCGGCCGAACTGAAAGAAGGAGCAGCCGCGCTTCCTGGACCAGATCGTCGTGGGACCGGAGCCAGGTAAGGTACAGCAGCCCCTCTGCCCACCCCTGTACTTAGTGTCTGTTGGAGGAGGAGGAGGGGGGGCGGCGCCGCCCCTCGAAAAAGTGCCGCCCTGACACCGGCTCGCACCGGCGTATAAGACGACCCCCGACTTTTCAGAAGATTTTCAGGGGTTGAAAAGTCGTCTTATACGCCGGAAAATACGGTATATTAACTCAGATGAGGGGTATAGACTGGACATCCCTGACCATAATAGCACATTTCCACTTTGCTCTCCCATATGCTGATTAGTTTAAAACTTTGCAGAAGAGCTTTAAAGCTGCTTTTACCACAATTATAGAAGAAGGCGTTGTAAAGAAAATGTAAAGAAAACACAATTGTAAAGTACAGTTCGAGATTATTTACCACCTTCTTTTTTGCAGAACTAGAGCTACCACTAGGATCTTCAACATCCAACACTTTCAAGTATTTCAGATTGCTGCAAATCATCTACCATGCTATGCCAGCGACATATCCATGCTGATCTGTACCTTACTGGTGCAGCCACAGCACACAATGTCCAGAAGTGTTGGATGCTAACGATCAAAATCATTGGATGGAGATGCTGGTATTATAATTGTAAATACTTATACTGTACCACGCTCCAATGTTATCAACCTTTTGTGATTGACCTTTTTTGATTGTGTGAATTTCTTAATATACCACCTATAATCCAATCATTACTTACTTCTATGGTGCTTAAATATACAATTAACATAAATTAATTTATAAATGTGAATTAAAAAATGATATGTGATTATAACAAATATTAAAAAAATTAATGAAAAAATTGGAATGTCAATTCTATGTGAATAAAATTAATAAAAGAAAAAAAAATTAATAAAACATTAATAAAAAATGGGAATGTCAATTATTTTCTTTGAATTTGAGATGGTGTTGTTATTCAATTTAGTTTATGTGATAAGTCTGTGTGGGCAGCTTGAACCTCTCCCTCTTGTCTCCTCTCCTCAGCTCAGCCTTCTCAATTGTGCTTTCTTCTTCACTGGCTGCTTTGTTTATTCCTCCATATACGGAACATGCAGAGAAGGGAAAAGAAACATAGTGTCTTATCCGGGATATAAGTGATTTATTGCTCTTTGATCTCCCACTCGCATTGTGTAAATGTAAATAACGCTTTGCATACAATGTATCCAGATCATGCTTCAGACAGCCTGGCTGATGTGTTTGTTTTCAGTAAATATACTCGCCATTCCTCTGTGGATGCGTGATAACGTCACCGCCCCTCCCCTACGCGGTACGCTACAGGGACTCGTAGCTTCCTCTGGGGGATGTGGATTTTGATCCACATCCCCCAGAGGAAGCTACGAGTCCCTGTAGCGTACCGCGTAGGGGAGGGGCGGTGACGTTATCACGCATCCACAGAGGAATGGCGAGTATATTTACTGAAAACAAACACATCAGCCAGGCTGTCTGAAGCATGATCTGGATACATTGTATGCAAAGCGTTATTTACATTTACACAATGCGAGTGGGAGATCAAAGAGCAATAAATCACTTATATCCCGGATAAGACACTATGTTTCTTTTCCCTTCTCTGCATGTTCCGTATATGGAGGAATAAACAAAGCAGCCAGTGAAGAAAGCACAATTGAGAAGGCTGAGCTGAGGAGAGAGGAGAGGAGACAAGAGGGAGAGGTTCAAGCTGCCCACACAGACTTATCACATAAACTAAATTGAATAACAACACCATCTCAAATTCAAAGAAAATAATTGACATTCCCATTTTTTATTAATGTTTTATTAATTTTTTTTTCTTTTATTAATTTTATTCACATAGAATTGACATTCCAATTTTTTCATTAATTTTTTTAATATTTGTTATAATCACATATCATTTTTTAATTCACATTTATAAATTAATTTATGTTAATTGTATATTTAAGCACCATAGAAGTAAGTAATGATTGGATTATAGGTGGTATATTAAGAAATTCACACAATCAAAAAAGGTCAATCACAAAAGGTTGATAACATTGGAGCGCGGTACAGTATAAGTATTTATAGTTTATATTTATACACCTAGAGAGGGTGTAATTAGTGCCTAGCAATCTAATATTTAATAAATATTCACTTAAGCACACAATTAACACTAATAATAGAGTAAGTTAGCTCCTGGTGGCTCACAAAAAACTATTTTATTAAAATGGTATTATAATTGTACTTTACTACCTAGCATTGGCCCTATTAACAGGCTCTCTATCTAGTAGAACTGAATGTTGGGGAACCTGCCAATGTTCCTGATTTTTGTACTGAACCAGCCCTCGCAGGTCTTCCTTTTGCAACTTAAAAAATGACTGATAACTTTCTCTGCAGGTCACATTACTTTTTATTGATCTGGTCTCAGAATATACTTACCAGGAATAGTGTTATCTAAAATGAAAGCTGTACAGCCTCCCACAAACATGGCTGTTGTAAGCAGGACATTTAATACTTGATCAATGCCGGCAATGCCTAAAAGAAAGAAACTTGTCAAAAAAAAATTTTTTAAATTACTGTAAACTTTAAATATATTGTTTGTGGACAGAAAACACATTTTTGCAACTGACAAAAAAGATGCCCTTTAAAGTTCCACCAATCATCTGCACCTTTCAGGGTAGTATCATGCAGATCCTTTCATTTTCTTTGGTACCCAAGGTAAAATGCAGGGCTTTGCCAACAGCACCACCTGCTGAATTATCTGATATTGTGGTATCTCTAGTCAGATACAACATTCTATAAACATACAGTATATTGTATTGCATATTGAAGGACTTTATTATTCTGGATGAAGACCCCTTTGTGGTATTACACACAGTTTTAAAAAAGGCAGACCAGGGATTTATATTTCAATTTGAAAATTGAAAAAAACGACTGTGGGTAATTGCATGCTTTCTTGTAGCCACATAAAAAATGCACAGCTGTTAGCAGATGCATGGGGAGTGCCAGTAAGAATTAATGGCACCACCACGCATTGGAAATGCAGTGTCCCTACTGCGATTATGAAAAAAGGTGCAGGGATCTTTCCCGTGCATTTTCCGCAGGTACAGCAGCCCATTCAGTCGTAGTGAAACCGACACAGTGGGAACCCAGCTTAGGGTAGTAAGAGCATACACAGTAGGTTGTTTCCAGAACAGTTAAAAGGGAAAAACTGCTTAGTTTAATCAGTTTCCAACCAGCTTATTGTCAAATGATGGGCGGGTAGGACACTCGACGTTCTGGGTGGATGTCATATGACATCCTCTCCACAACGCACCAAGGGCCACACCGTAGCACGATCTGTGGATCCAGTGGATGACCAATCAGTGTACTGGATGCTGCCGGTACCACGTGATCGCTGTGACCAATCATAGCAGAACACAAGACAATTGTACACAATGGATGGTGATCATTCATGCCATCCATTGTGTACTATTGAACTTTGCGATTGGTCACATGGCATAGCCAGGGCCAGTCACAGCCTATCTGTACCATGTGATTAGCTATGGCCAATAACAGTTAACAACAGTCAATAATGAATGAATCGATTCAGTTCAGTAAAAATGATGGTTTAAAAGTGAAATTCATTGGAATAAGCAATCATATTGTGTAAAAAAAAACAATCCTTATCACTTCCCCAGAATAGTGCTGTATTACTATGGTAACACTGTATTGCTCTGGTCACAGTATGTTGAAAAAAAAAATGTAATAGACATATTAAAAAGTGAAAAAAAATTATTAAACATATTGCATATTGTTACCAGTCAGTGTCCCTGCACACCACCACATGAGTTATATGATGATGCTGCACTGCACCGATGACAAAAATATGTGACAAAAAATTACAACTTCAAAACTCGCCATGCCTCCTACTAATACCATGGACTGTCTACTTTCCAAAAAATTGTAACCTGGGGCATATTTGTACTGTCCTGGCTTTTTCAGGCCTCAAGAAATGAGATAGACCATCAGTACATCAGGATTAATAAATTTTCAGATATATATCCCATAGTTTGTGGACTCCATAACTTTCCTACAGACTAAATATTATACACTGATTTTTGTTATTTTCACCAATTAAATGTAGCAGTATACAATATGGCCTAAGTGTATGAAGAAAGATTATTTATTTGCAAAATTTTACAACAGAAACAAGGAAAAATTTGTTTTTTTTCGCAAAATGTTCAGTCTTTTTTCATTTATTTAGCAATAAATAAAAAACTCAGAGGTGATTATATACTAAGAAAGCTCTATTTGTGTGAAAAAAAAAATGATAATTTCATGTGAGTACATACCTGTGACCAATGGGTTTTGCTTCAAATAACTGGGCAGCATCAACCCAAAAAATATTGAAAATCCAAGGACAAAGAGATTGCGGGAAGAATTCAGGTCTACAAACTGAAGATTGGAAAGACCCACTGCAGTGATCATACCTGAAGAAACACAATTATATTAATTGAAACAGCAGGTGTCCATGAAGACAGCTTAGTAATCAGAAAGTTGGGATTTTTGAAGCAGATTTCTAGGCACAAAGAAAAAACAATGCAGAATAGTGCTCACCTTGCAGACTTTCATGCTTGTTACTATACTACTTAATTTTTGGGCTATGCGCTCTTTATATTAAGTAGCCCTGATGCCACTGAAGAGGCCCCTACATCCTTTCTAAAAGATCGGTCACCACTACCTGTAAGTAAAGTGACCTGCCACTTCACCACCCTTCTCTTCTATTCTCAAGCAGCACCAATGTCATCATGTCAGCACTGCCTGTAGGAAGAATGGTGGCTCAGTCTGCTCTGCATTTCCACATCAAGCACCACCCATCTTGTTCAACATTACCCCGACCTCCAGTTTCTCTACCCTGCCATTCACTTGCACATGGTTGCCATTGCAGTATGGTTGGGCACATCTGTGTGCAAAGGATGCCATGTAGGACACCCAGCCAACCACTGTTATTGGCTGGGGAAGACAAGAGATATTTTTCAGCCCTATGATGACATCACAGGGCTGAAAAAAGGCAAAACAAAAAAAATCAAGGGGCCACGTAAGTAGAAAGAAACTTTATTGCTCTCTTAAGGGGAAGATGAGTGGTTTGTGCTCTGTGATCTGCATGGATATATATAATCTTCCAAAAAGCAAGAGTGTGCAATAGTTCACAGCAACCAAAGATCAATTTTATTTTTTAACTATTCTAATCTACAACTAGCTGATGTCTAATGCTAGCAGATCATAGACCTTTTTATTAGGCATTAGTCTTTCGAAGAGAAACAATGACTTACCAAACAAGGTACAAAACAGAGCTCCAAGGACAGGATCTGGCAGAGAAGCAAACAATGCACTGAACTTTCCAATCATGCCTAGCAGCAGCATGAAGGCAGCACCATACTGGATGACCCTGCGACTGGCAACCTGGGAACAAAGGGGAATGATTGCACACAAACATCACATGTAGTTTATTTTATAAATATACAGCAGATATACAAACTACAGCATATGTCACTTGTATCTAAAGCTGCATACACTATATTGCCAAAAATAATGGGCCAGCCCTCCAAACCATTGGATTCAAGTGTTCCAATCACCTCCATGGCCACAGGTGTATAATATCAAGTACCTAGGCATGCAGACTGCTTCTACAAACATTTGTGAAAGAATGGGTCGCTCTCAGGAGCTCAGTGAATTCAAGTGTGATACTGTGATAGGTTGCCACCTGTACAATAAGTCCATCCATGAAATTTCCTTGCTACTAAATATTCCACGCTCAACTGTTAGTGGTATTATAACAAAGTGGAAGCAACTGGGAACAACAGCAGCTTGGCCACGAAGTGGTAGGCCACGTAAAATGACAGAGAGGGGTCAGCGCACAGTGCGCAGAAGTCGCCAACTATCTTCAGAGTCAGTAGCTATAGACCTCCAAACTTCATGTGGCCTTCAGATTAGCACAACAGTTTGTAGTGAGCATCATGAATGGGTTTCCATGGCCGAGCAGCTGAATCCAAGCCTTACATCACCAAGTGCAATAAAAAGCATCTGATGCAGTGGTGTAAAGCTCGCCGCCACTAGACTCTAGAGTAGTGGAGAAGTATTCTCTGGAGTGACGAATCACGCTTCTCTGTCTGGCAATCCAATGGATGTGTCTGGGTTTGGTGGTTGCCAGGAGACCGGTACTTGCCTGACTGCATTGTGCCAAGTGTAAAGTTTGGTGGAGGGGGGATTATGGTGGGGGGTTGTTTTTTCAGGGGTTGGGCTTGGCCCCTTAGATCCATGGAAGGGAATTGTTAAGGTGTCAGAATACCAAAAAATTTTGGACAATTTCATACTCCCAACTTTGTGGAACAGTCTGGGAATGGCCCCTTCTTGTTCCAACATGATTGCGCATCGGTGCACAAAGCAAGGTCCATAAAGGCATGGATGAGCGAGTTTGGGGTGGAGGAACTTGACTGGCCTGCACAGAGTCCTGACCTCAACCCGATGAATTAGAGCAGAGATTGTGAGTCAGGCCTTCTTGTCTGACATCAGTGCCTGACCTCACAATGCTCTTCTGGAAGAATGGTCAAATATTCCCATAGACACACTCCTAAACCTTGTGGACAGCCTTCCCAGAAGAGATGAAGCTGTTATAGCTGCAGAAGGTAGGCCAACTCAATATTGAACCCTACAGACTGTGTATACTTATAGGTGGCACTTGCAGTGCCTGGTTTTGCAGTAGCAGTTCTTTGTGCTTTCAGTAGATGGGGCCATTATCAGTAAAAAGCACATAAAATGAGCGACAGAAGTTCAACAACTGCCATCTGTTCCAATATCGATGCCCAGAATTTGCAGCACCAGAAAAGCTGTGAATATAGGGCAGGCCATGAAACTATATTTAACAACATTTGGGAGAAAGCTAACGTTATATAACTGCTGCTTCTAATGCAATCTGGACAGCAGCAAATGAAAAGTATAATGATATCTGGTCATTTTTATTTTAATCAAGTGATGTGTCACTTTTTTCATTTGCATAATTTGTTATGTCACAAATAACATTAAATAGAGTTTACAGCCATGGCACTCAGTTTGCAAAGTATGTATGGTTTAAATAAGAGAGCCCAGCACTGCTTGCTTACTTCTTGGTCGCTATGTCTAGCAAGTCTTTTCAGATAATCTTCCACCTCTGCTAGAGGGAGACATTCAGCTGTGTGTGGAATCTAATCTCTGCTATTCAGGTCACAATACAAGTACTTTATAACTGCTGTAAACCAACCAACATGAAGGCTGAAGCTCTACTAGAGCTTGCCCCTGCAGGCTGCAAGTTGTATATATTATTTGTTTATATGCAATGTTTAACCGCTTCCCCGCTGCCCTATAGCAGATATACTGCTACAGGGTGGTCGGGGTGCGCAAAATCAAGTATATATACATGATTTTGCATTTCTGGTGGTCTCACCTGTTGATCACCAGGTCCCGACCAGTGATTCCCCACCAGCACCCGGCGATCGCCATGGATCACTGATGAGGGAGAGACCTGTATGTAAACAACACAGATCTCTCCCCTGTCAGCTTCTGCACATTGCTTTGTATTGCTCTGCATAGCAGAGCAATACAAAGCAATGTGCTTACAAAGTAAAACACACACACAGCACAGTAAATTGCAATACAGCACACAGTTAACCCTTTGATCGCCCCAGATGTTAACCTCTTCCTGCTCAGTGTTATTAGTACAGTGTCAGTGCTTTTTATTAGCACTTATCACTGTATTGGTGTCACTGGGGATGTCAGTGACAGTCAGTTCCCCCCAGTGTCAGGATGCCCGCAGCAACCCCGCTATAAGTCACTACAATGCCATTACTAATATATATATATATATATATATATATATATATATATATATATATATATATATATATACACACAAAAAATCCAGTATTTATACAGCCATTTGTAGATGCTATAAATTTCATGTAAACCAATTAATTTACACGTATTGGGATTATTGTTTTAGCAAGGACATCTAGCAGAATACATTTTGGCCTAAATTTATGACAAAATTTGATTTTAAATTTTTTTTTTTACAGGACATGTTTAACCACTTGGCAACCGCGCTATAGCTGAATAACGGCTACAGTGTGGCTGTCCAGTCCTGGGAGGGCGTCATATGGCATCCTTTCAGAACGCACCATCCCGTGCGTCCCCAGCGGCGCGCACCCGGCAATCTCCGTGATCGATGTGTTCTTTGGACACAGCTGATCATGAGATGTGGTAAAAGGCCAATCACAGTGGCCTTTTACCACGTGATCAGCTGTGCCCAAGGACACAGCAGATCACCGGGTAAATACAATTACCGGTTATCGGCTGCACTTTCCTCACGCTGCCACAGTGTGAGGAAAGTACCGCTGATAACCAGCAATTGTCAGAGAACAGATAAGCACTGATGATCAGTGCCCAAGCAGTGCCATCCACCTGTGCCCATCAGTGCCTAGCAGTGCCCCCATCAGTGCTGCCTATCAGTGCCTATCAGTGCTGCCTTTCAGTGCAGCCTCATCAATGCACATCAGTGAATGAGAAAAAAAACTTGTTTGCAAAATGTTATAATAGAAACAAAGAAAACCTTTTTTTTTTTAATAGCGCAAAAAGAAAACACCCAGCGAGGATTAAATACCACCAAAAGAAAGCTCTATTGTGTGAAAAAAATTATATTAAAATTTTCATAAAATTTCATATGAGTACAATGTTGCATGACCATGCAATTGTCATTCAAAGTACGACAGTGCTGAAAGCTGAAAATTGGCCTGGGCAGGAAGGGGTATAAGAGCCCGGCAGGCAAGTGATTAATAGCAAAAAGTCAAAAATATTGTATTTTTTTTCCCCTCAAACTTGTATGTCTTTTTTTTTTGTATAGAACAAAAAATAAAAATGCAAAGGTGATCAAATATCACTGAAAGAACGCTCTATTTGTAGGCAAAAAAAGGACATAAATTTCATTTGGGTGCAGCATTGCATGACTGCACAACTGTCAGTTAAAGTAACACAGCACCGTATTGCAAAAAATGACCTGGTCAGGCAGGGAGGTAAATCCTCTGGAGGGCAAGTGGTTAATATTTAGTTTAGAGATAAAGAAAAATATTAAAAAAAGAAAATATTTGTTTTTTTTACTCCAGAACATAAAAACAAATATTAAACATTATTCATTTTTTTTAAACCTTTCGCTGCCAGAGCCGGTTTTGCATTTTTGACTCTTTTCATTTTAGGCCTGACAATTCATTTCATTTTAGGCCCAAAGATCAGTTAAAACCCCCAAATGTTACATATTTTCTGAAAGCAGACACACTGGAGATTAAAATGGTGGTAGTTCCAATTTTTTACATCACACAATATTTGCACAACGGTTTACCAAGCTCAAAATTTTAGCAAAAAATACACTTAAAAACCAAAAGGTAATGCAATATATCACACAATTTTTGGCAAAATATAAAAGATGAGGTAGCACCGAGTAAACAGATACCCAACATGTTAAGCTTTAAATTTGTGCTCACCCACAAAACAATGACCAATTCAGCACCCTATATTTTCCATAGGCGATGCTTAAAAACCCTTATAGGTCATCAGTTTAGTTAGAGTTAACCATGAATAATGAACCAAGAATTGTTGCACTCATTCTAGCAGGGGGCCTACTCTGGGGATCACAGAATGCAATCAGGCGACTGTATAGCTGACTGATCGCTTTCTTTCGAAAGCTGTCAGTTAGCTTGTGGAGTATACACACAAAGCCACCAGGAAATGTGTAAAAGAGGGGTGGGCTCCCTCCAGGCATACCTGCCCCTAACCTATCCATTACTATATACGTGCTCCAACTTGGGAGACCCCAAATCTATAGAGTTAGGACTGCAGTACACTGTGGTACTGTGACGTGGCCACAGAAGCTTACACATATATTTGCAAATGTGTGCAAACTAAACCCCTTGTTTTTTTTAGAGTGAACTGTTAGGGTCAAAAAGATTTGTTGCAGGCTGGCTGATAAGCGAGCTGGAAATTTTATTTTTTTGACATGCGCTGCCCTTCCCATATGCTCCTTGCTGCAAAGGCTAGTTATAAATTGGGGTGGTTCCCATTTGTTTGTGCAGTTGATGAATTGGTGTGGGGACACACTGGACACCTTTAGCTGCCACTGTGTTCTTGCTGGGTGTCCAGTGCATCCCTGTACCTTTAAGGAGGGGTGGGCTCTCTCCAGGCATACCTGTTCTTAATCTATCCATTACTATATATGTGCTCCAACTTGAGAGACTCTCAAAATTAGAGTTACCCCTGGTTTTTAGCATGAACTGTTAGACAGGGTCAATTTGTTTGTTGCAAACTGGCTGGTAAGTGAGCTGGGAATTTTTGTTTCAGTTTCTCTAATTTGCTTCATCAGAAACATACAGGAATACATATGTGCGATCATGTCTCAGCCACACATATGTCCCAATGAAGACTACAGGGAACAAATATTCATACCAATGAGGACTGCAGCCACATCGTATCTTGATAGGCTGAAGAGGTGTAGAGAGATGCCATGCTTAGCTAACTATTATAATCCAGTCAGTGACATAGTCCTCAGATTACAGAGATGTCATGACCAGGAGTCCTCATATTATAAAGATATCTTGACTGTGAGCCAGGCCACCTCCACCTCAGCCCAAAATGCCAAACCTGTATAAGCAAAGGTATATAAAAAACAAGTCCCACTGTTTATAGCCTGACTTACATTTGCTGACAAATCTCACATCTCTGCAGGAGTACAACTAGGACTTGGTCAAGATGATGTACTATAGACCTCAAATGTGCAGCAAACAAAAGGTGAGCCTACACAGCCACCCACACCCATGATGTCATGTGAAGTCTGGTCTAATTTAACACTTACCTTGGTTATCCCCAAAACTCCTATATTAGGGCTGGATGATGTGGAACCATTTCCAGTGCCAAACACCCCATCCAGGACACAAGAGAGGCCTTCAATGAAAATCCCCCTGTACACAGACAAAAGAATACATCAGTAACCAAAATCTACATGGGAAATATTCTGGAAGATTAATCTAGACTGAACATTTAAATTTGACCAATCACTAAAATGTGTAAACTAAAAAAAATATCAGTTTTTAATGCGTGTTGAACTGGTAAGGTAGCTCTCTTCGATATAAGACTGTGGCCTTCTGGTCATGTGATGTTAGCAATATCCCCTCCATAGGAAGGGCAGGGATACTCTGCAGCCCAGATTTTAGACAGTGGAAAACCACATTCTCTCCCTGATATCTGGGCAAGGGTGGAAAAACACTATGGCTAAAAATAACAAATATGAAAAGATGATAAAGACGTTTTTCCTACATTCTTGCAATATAAAAAGAATTCCAAGAAATAACCAAACTCACCTATTAATAGCATGAATAGGAGGAGGTGGGGCACACGAAAGGCGGGCACAAGCATAGTAATCTCCAATAGACTCAATGATGCTTGCTACTACAGCGCTTAGCATCCCGATGACCCCAGCAGCGGACACAGTGGGCAGACCCCACTGAACTGAAAGAGGAGAAACATCATAAGTCAACATCAGCACAAACCCTGTACTAAAACAGTCTAAAATGTTCAGTTTAAAGCGTATCTATAGCCACATTTTTTTAGGTTTGGAAAGAGTAGAGAAGGGTTAGAACAGAATGTTATTGCTGCCTGTGTACCCATTGGAGGTTCACCCTGTTCACCTGTCCCACTGTCACAGAACAGAAATGGATAGGAAATTCAAGATCTGAGTCGTAAAAAAAAAAAAAAAAGTCAGAGCTTCTAAACTTTCCACACTCTGCTCAAAACTATAAAAAAATGTTGCCTTAAGATACACCCATTAGGATCTTATGATCAAAAAAACAAAATACTTTTAATGGCATCACATTACTGCTACCAGAACACAATAACATGACATAATTAATGACACACTGCCTTCTGACTACAATAATTTTATAGTGATTCCAAAATATTCACTGCGACACCTTGTAATGATGACCAAGTCATACTCAAGACCTTAGATCTGCAGATGAATAAAGGGAATTTCCAATAGCATTCTCCATAATCAGTACAAATCAATGTCCATGGACTTGACAGACAAAGCATGATGCAGATATCATTTACAACTTTTAAGTGAAAGGCTTGCCTAATTTTCATTTGCAATTACTGTTACATTGTTGTCACCAGCTGTCTCAGGTCTGTTTGTGCCACCAATGCCAATTTCTATTACACAATGAAGTAGAAACTGATGCGGGTTCTGAAAAGAGAGGAAATACATCAGTTTTAAATAGACGCAGCCCCAGCTCTCCATGCTGGGTCTGGTGCAGAGATGGCATAGAAGATGGAGCACATTGCTACTAATTAACAAAGGGGCCTGCCCCCCCCCCCTTTGTTAATTAGAAGTAGGATGTGCTTTATTCTTCCCTCTTAGATTGTAAGCTCCAAGGAGCAGGGCCCTCCTGACCCTCTTGTATTGAACTGTATTGTTGCTGTATTGTCTCCCTTTATATTGTAAAGCGCTGAGCAAACTGTTGGCGCTATATAAATCCTGTATAATAATAATGATATTCTCTCATTTTACAGGAGTGGTGCAGGCTTGGTTTATTGCCTGTGCCACTTTTTATTAACCCACCCAATAGCATTATCCTGTCTTAGCCAAGTTAAAGCAAACCTGTACTGAGAGAAATAAAGGTGCTACCAGTATACCCTCCTTCCATGAAAAACAGTTAACCTGGCTGTATTTATCTTCAATACTAATTGAGTCACTGGCCTACAACAAACTTGTAAATGATATCTAAGCGAAGTCATAACTATTGTTTTTCATACTTGTTCCTGGTCTGTGCCAGGCAAATAGAATTTGTCATAGAAACATATTTACAACAGGCATTTAAATAAGCCAGATTTTTAGTAGTTTTCTTCAAGCTCTTAAAGCATCCCTAGTGCTAGCAGTGCTGAATGCGAATTGTAATTGAAAATATCTGCAGCTGTAAGCAAGCTATTACACGGCTTCAATAGGCTCTCAGCCAGCTTTAAACACAACTTGAAGCTTGTTGCAGCCTTTTACCAGCTTGATTAAAAGCTATAGCCAACATTCAATATAGCGGCTAAATGCTTTGTAAATGTACACTCTTCCTCTTTACATGAGTGTGGAAGCCGTTGTGAACTACACAAAGGAAAAAAGTAGAGGTGCTGCCATATCATTCATCAGGATTATATGGGTTTACTGCAGTGCTTGTTAGAAAAATCACAAGTAAAAAATGACTGGTATGACAATAGCTCAGTGACTGGACTGGATCATTGCAAAAATACATGGCTTTAGTGATGGGCACTGTATGATGCATTATCTTTTATAGGTTATATTAAATAATAGTACAGTAAGGAACAGTAAATTTCTTTACATCTCGTATTGCTAATTTAAAAAAAAATAATCTGTGCCACTATGTCAGTAAAATAGACAGGAGAAAGTCAGCCTCATAGTAGCATTAAAGTCTGCTGTAAGATCAAACAAAGATCAACCATTTTTCAGTACAAAGAACGGCTAACTTAAAAGAGAATTTCTAAGGATGGCAGGCTTAAAAAAAAAAAAAAAAAAGTCATGCAAAGCATGAACTGTATGCATAGTCAAGGTGTATATAAGAGAGAAACACTGTGCAAATAGACATGTAAATTTAGTACAACTGCCACATAAAGAAAAAAACATGTCAGTAGCGTAAACAAACCCTGCAGGACACGCTGACAGGGCCCTGACCAGGCACAATGGCTGCCTGCACTTTTGCTTGGCTTAAAGAAAATGAAACAAGCTTAAAGCTTTTAGGTGTCAAGAACAAGGCAACAATTTCCTTCAGGCAGTGCGAAAAGAGTTAGTTGTAAATTATATAGCCAATCCTTAGTATAGGCCCACTTTGTTATCCATTTAGCAACACTGTAGCTGAAAGAATGCTGTCATATTAATGGAAGTGCATACTATCAGCAGCTGGGCTCCCTAGTGACATCATCGGTTTATTTCAGTAATCAGGAGTAGGTAGGGTATGCCTATCAAACTCCAGACAGGTGCTTGTGTGTGCCTAGATACTGCCACAGGTACACAGGTCCTCGATTGCTTCTAACTGGGAATTAAAGAAGAATTCCATGTATGAATATCGTATACATAGCTACAATCCAGCTTGGATCAAACAATGCGCATACCATACCTGACTGATGCCACTGCAAATCACTGAAAGAGACACTACTCCAGTGATCTCCACTTGCTTCCACATCCCACGCTGAGTGGCTGGCCTGCTGCTTATGCCAGCCATACATGGGTCGAAATTCTACCGATTTTTTGTCCGAAAATCGGACCTAAGAATAATCGGCCAACTTTCGCTCCGTTAGTGGGTCAGTGGCACTGGCCGATTTTAGTGGTTCCTCCCCTTTACGGTGATCGGGCATGTTGGAAAATTCTTGAAAACGACAGATTTTTGACTCAATGGTCAAATCGTACGATCTAAAGGAATAAAAAGTCAAAAAAATGTGGCGCTACTCATAAAACTTAAAATAAAATACTAATCAAAAAAACTTCTAAATATATATAACACATATAATACACCCCGTGAGATGAATATAAATATAATAATCAAGTGGTCATAGTGATCAAAAAATATATATTAAAGCTAATATCATAAAAAACATAGTGTATAAACACAGTGTATTAACAATCTTGTTTTTCATGTGCAAGAATTTTTCACAAGATTGTTAATACACTGTGTTTATACACTATGTTTTTTTATGATATTAGCTTTAATATATATTTTTCTGATCACTATGACCACTTGATTATTATATTTATATTCATCTCACGGGGTGTATTATATGTGTTAAAATAAAAAATACTAATCAAAAAAACTTCTAAATATATATAACACATATAATACACCCCGTGAGATGAATATAAATATAATAATCAAGTGGTCATAGTGATCAGAAAATATATATTAAAGCTAATATCATAAAAAACATAGTGTATAAACACAGTGTATTAACAATCTTGTGAAAAATTCTTGCACATGAAAAACAAGATTGTTAATACACTGTGTTTATACACTATGTTTTTTATGATATTAGCTTTAATATATATTTTCTGATCACTATGACCACTTGATTATTATATTTATATTCATCTCACGGGGTGTATTATATGTGTTATATATATTTAGAAATTTTTTTGATTAGTATTTTTATTTTAAGTTTTATGAGTAGCGCCACATTTTTTGACTTTTTATTTCTTTAGATCATGGGTATATGATGTAGTGTTGGCGGCTTCTCTCTTTAGTTCATTGAATACAATTTTTGGTGTATAGTAGTGTGAGAGGTTCACACCATCCCTGTTAGTTCATATTATTTTTTATATTTTATATTATTTTTTGGTTATTCAGTAGCGCAGGAGGTTCACACCATCCTTATTCAAATCGTACGATCGTTTTCCCGAAAAGAATGTGCGCATGAGCCGTGACCTGGAAGGAACAGAAGTTTCGCCTTTTATATGGGGTGAACTTTATGACTTGGTCGACCGATTTTCTAAATCATTGATGGCACCATCAGATTACTGAGCGAACGTTTTTGATTATCGGACGAAAAATCGTTCAGAATTTGACCCATGTATGGCTTGCATTACTGAACACAGGAAGCCGGCTCCTCAGCACGGGCACCATTCAGAGAATGCTTTGTAAGTGGAGATCACTGGAGTGGCAGTGTTTATTTCAGTGATTTCCAGTTTCTTTGGCTAAGTATGGAATATGCAGAGTTACATTGGCCCATGCTGGACCAATATAACTATGCATAAAATATACATACCTGAAATTCTTCTTTAAAAGGCTAAAAAGGTACTTTTTGTTTACTGACAGATATGTTAAATTAAACTGTACAATGAATCCCTGTTGGATGGCCACACTTTAGGAAAGTTCACACTGCTGATTGGACCAAGCCTGCTTTACAAATGTAAAGGGACATGCTTTCTGTATGTCATTTCATGATGCAAACACACCTCAGCATTTTCGCCAGATGTGTTTTAGATTTACAGCACCAGAAATGCAAAATACATGTGAACATAAATCGATGTGAAGTGCAAAGCACGTTCCTTTCTCACTTATTTCAATGGAAAAGGCAGGGGAGATATAAACTTACATGAACAGGTTTATTGGGCCCTTAGAGAAAATTCCTTTTCGTGTGAATACAGAACAGCAAATTGTTGCGCCTGCATTCACAGTGAAGATGAATCCTCTCCAAGACAACTGTAGCTTGCCCAGTGTGATACAATACAGTCCATTGTGCATGAACCTTAATGTTCCAATATTATAACACAATAGGAGATATGGAGAAAAGTTCTATTTCTATTCTGGACCTGCGTGGTTACAGTGCTGAAAAGTGCAAGCCTTAACACATTTCAGTAGGCGGTGAGCCACTTTGAAACAAGGCAAGCAGTAATCATTGCTTCCCTTCATTTTCAAAACCACAACGTTATAACCAGCCTTGCACACTTGTCAATCATT